AGAGTAAGACGATACATAGCACACTGGTAGGATGTATGCTTAGCAAGCAAAAGCCCCCAAGTTCAGTTAAATTCCTAATAGAAATTTTGAAAGAGAGATGGAGAGAAAGAGAGAGAGGGAAGGAGGGAGGGAGGGAGAAAAGAAGAAGGAGGGAGAAAGACGGAGAGAAAAGTTTTCTTACTGATTTACTGACTTGTAAGTCAGTAAGACTTAGCAAGTATCTTCTTACTGACTTGGCATCCTTTGCATCTGATGCCATATCTAGAACACATTAGACAACATTAATTTGTGGAGAGAGTGTCTTACATCTCACACAAGGACTCAAGTTCAACAAGTTTTTCCTGAGCAAGTGCTCAAACCAAGCCTTCAGCAGTCCTTCCTGAGAAAAAGAGTAGAAAAACACGTTTGTTTGTTTGTTTGTTTGTTTGTTTGTTTAAAAGAAAAGGCACTCAGCATGAAGCATCCCCAGGGACTGAACTGAACAACCCTCATATTAACTCTTTCCAGACCCATGAGGATTCCTTCAGAATCCTGTTATCTCACAGATAAAGGGCCGGGAGCTCAGCATGGCGTGGACCCTGTGTGACTAAGTCAGGATGCAAATCTGTGAGCTCTCCACTGCTCTCCTCTGCTTAACTTAAGAAGCATCCACAGAGCCCAGAGGGAGTCTTGCCTGTTAAAGGATGGAGAAATCAAACGCCACAGGTCTCTGTCCCCTCGGCTTCTGCTCAGAGCCTGGCCCTCCAGCACCTTTGTATAGAACTTGGAAATAAGCAAAATAGAAGCCAAGATAGGGGATAGATCCACACATGTTTTCATGGCTGGGGTAATAATATCTAAGTCAACAGGCCCCGTAGGTACTCTTTCCTGAGTATCCCTCTGGATCCTTCCTGCTTTACAGCGCTGTGGTTTGAATCCTATTTTCCCCTAAGTGTCTGTGCAGGACCATGTTTGTGTTGCTATAATGAAGGATGTCAACACGCTTCTTCTCGTGCCTCCTTGATTTTCTGAAATCTGTGCAGTTAGGCTGTGGGCTTTGGCTTTATCCCCAGACACCCTGGTCACGTCTGAATTACCTTCATGACAAGCAGACTTATGTCGACATAAGACAAGCCAGGAAAGGCAGATCTCTCTGTCTGTCCTGCTGGAGGTCTGGGAAAACAGTCGCCAAACAAGCCATTAAAAAAAAGAAAGAAATAGTGGGCTCAGGAGCTTACTGCTGCTAAGACAGCCCTGCTGGGCTTTGGATGAGCAAGACTTCTCATCCAAGGAACGTCCCTTCTCAGAAACCCTTCTAAGAGCATGGTTTCAGCTTGTTGCCTAGTTAACTCAGACAGTGTGGCCTCTGGAGAAGAGCGCTCTAAACCTGACCTCCTTAAAGATGAGAAAGCCCGCGGGGCACTTGGGAGCTGACCCCACGCTCCAGCGACTGCTTGAGGAAAAGAGTTCAGGTTACAGGTGTCTGCCAGGGCAGACAGAGTCCAGATGCAATTATCTGCAACAGCCTACCTGACCATAGTGCCTCCTGGAATCAAGTTTGTCTTCTGGCCAAATAGCGCCAGCTACAAGTTGGCCTCTTCAAGTTCTGCCAGTCTTTACCACTTCCTGAACCATACATGAGTGAATGAATAAGAGAATCCATCGATTCTAACTATGTGCCTGGAATAGTCTTGGTCTATAGACAAAAGGCTGAACAAGACATACCTCTTTGCTGCCAGAGTGGTGAATCGAATGAAGAGGACAGGTAGATAAGTCTAGAAAGCGGTGGATCTGTGGGTCTAGGTGCAGGATTTGAGACTAGGCTGGTGGAAGACGGGATCCCCGGGGGCGCTATGAGGAGCAGGATCTCAGATGGATTTGAGGGCAAGCAGGAATTCTCATGGGAAGAATATTCCTTCCAGGAAACTCCTAGGAAAGGGAAGGGAGTCGCTTCTGGGGTCTTGCAGCTGGCTGAAGGCTTTGGATGCCTGGACAAGGCAGTAACTTAAGGGTCTTTAGTCTCACTCTGCAGAAGGGGCCCAAAGAGAACCCCAGACAACCCCAGATGTCACAGGTACAAAAGCCGTAATCTTGGGGACATCTGTCTGCCGAGATGAGCAATTCCAGGAAGTCTGGAAGGTGGGAATGCAGTGGGAACTGAGGCTGGATTGTGAAACTGAATGAGACATTGAGTACCCTCCCAGGCCTGCAGTCCAGGGTGATGTATGCGAGGAAGAAAACAAAAGCAAAAGAGATAGAAAGGGAAAGAGGGGTGGGAGACATAGGAACTGTGGGAAGATCACTCTGAGCCAGCAGCTTTGAGCAGACATAAACACATTTTACAACAGGGAAGTGAGGCCCAAGATCTGAGGTGGAAGGAGAAGAAGTTGGGGCGCTGGCTGAGAATGAGGCCAAAGCAGTGTTGAGGTTAAGCAGAGAAAAAGAAAGAAGCTGGATCCTCCTCTTCATCCTTCAAAGAACTTGCCTTTGTCCCAGAGCTCCTTTTACAAACTCACTCTTACAGGGCTCCATGTCATTCCACCACAATGCCTGCAGGTGGCAGCATAGAGGTGACTCTGGAAACACCGGGAAACCCCTGGGAACACCACTGTGGATGGAGAGGACCTCAGGGAAGGCTCTGGCTAGGGAGGAATTTATCCCCACTCTCTGGGCCAGGCCTCTGCTGTAAATGCAGTTACCTTGGGCCAGTGTCACCTGCTCAGGATCCTGCACACTCTCAGCCTCTCTTCTGCTCTGACAGTCACAGAAAACAGCCTTGCTTCTAGCTAATAAGACAGGACAGTGACATCTGCACCTGCCGGTCAGGAAGCCAATATTTCCTGCTCTGTCCATCTTCACCTCTGAGAGCAAAAGTCACCCATGACACTTTCTTCCCAAGCATCACGACTTGGTCTCAGACCAAGTGCAAGGTGCTGTTGTAATTGAGTTCAGAAGTGCTCAATGCAAAATGCTTTTGTCTTTGGAACCTTTGAGCCTGTCTATGGGCAATATCTTGTCCCTCTGACTAGACAAAGGTCATAGCACAGAGCGTACAATGTCAGGTTAGGGGACCCAGTGAAGGCAGAGGAAGCATTCTGGGTAGAAAACGCTCTAGCTACGGTGGAGGCCCATCACCTTTGTCACTACTCAGCCTGTATTTTCTGCCTGCTGTATTGGGGTGTCACAGGAAGAAGGAGCAATGGTTCAGTAGAATTGCCCTGTGTGCCCAGAAGAGCCTCTCAGAGCCCCAGCATGCAGGTGGAAATGGGGCATTGATCGTGGGTAGTATGAAGATTACCTCCCCCCCCCCCCCCGGTGAAAATGCCCTTCAACTGGGTTAAGACTTAGAACCACAAGTCAGCAGTGTGTGGGTTTTCCTGGATATTCCTGTGAAGTTCCTAAGAAAATAAAAAATAACCTTTGTGCCTCTTTTTAATAACTTTTTTTTGGGGGGTGAAGGGCAGTGTGATAATGGAGTTTGAACACCAGGTCTTGCATTTACTAGGCAGGTGCTCTACCAATTTGCCCATCTTCCAGCCCTCCTTTGCTTTGCTTTAGTTATTCTCTGGTAAGGTTCTCACATTTTTGCTCAGGCCCAACATCAGACTTGAATCCTCCTGTCTCCAGCCTGCATTATAGGCACAAGGCTCTGCTTAAATGGGTGTGTCAGGTCATTATATTTGTAGTCAAGCTGTGAGATTGAACTTTCTATCAGAGAAAAGTTAGCATCAAGCCAGGTGCCAGTGGTTCATGTCTGTAATCCTAGCTATTCAGGAGGCTGAGACTGAGGATCACAGTTCAAAGCCAGCCGGGACAGCAAAGTCCATGAGAATCTTACCTCCAGTTTAAAAAAAAAAAAAAGGTAGGACCTACCAGGGTCCTGGCCTTGTCCGCAGCTCTCATCCTTAGACAGACTTTCAAAGTTCAGGAGCTGGGGAGGGAGGGGGTTGTACATCAACTCTAGGCTTCTCAACTGCCTCCGCAGACTTCCTCACTGACTAAGGGAACATAAGTCCTTAGGGGATCTCACCTGCCATCCATCCCTTGCTACTAAACCTCCTTAACAATGACCTTGCATCTCTCCATGAGAATCACGACAGTGTGGCTCACTCCAGAGCCTTCATGGGGTATGAGTCTAGCATATAAAAGCTGCTTAAAGGGCTGGGAAGGTGGCTCAGTGGTAGAGCGCTTGCCTTGCATGCATGAGGCCCTGGGTTTGATTCCTCAATACCACATAAGCAGAAAAAGCCAGAAGTGGTGCTGTGGCTCAAATGGTAGAGTGCTTGCCTTGAGCTGAAGTGCTGAGGGACAGCGCCCAGGCCCAGAGGTCAGGCCGCACAACCGACAAAAGAAAAAAACACTGCTTGGAGAAGCTCAAACATCAGTTACCAGGTGGTCCTCAGACTCAGGGGGCACAGTGGATTTCATGGGAACCGATTGCTGTGCATCACTATTCTCATGAGCTTTACTCTTGACTTCAAAACAAACAAGAACCCTGCTCCTCCTACAGTGCCTTTAAAAGCATCCGCCAGTTACAATAACATTTGTATCAGTCCTCTCCAGACCTTCTGCTCCCCCTCTTTACCTGCTCCTTTATACAGATTGATTTTAAATTGGAAAATCTACAAAAAAGAGAAACACCCACCCATACTTTATTTCCTCAACTCTGTTATCAGTCTCAAAACACTGTTTGCCCATAAGAAGTTAATTTTAGGTTCCAGAATTAGAATCCATCCACCCTTGGCTGATTCCTGTGATTTGACTCTCAGTTGACTGTGTAGAATTATTCTTTGTAAAGACTGGACAGGGGAAGGTTTTTGCTACTTTACAGACTTTCTCTTAGGATGAAGATAACCACTGAAATATGAATAGATCTTAATTCCTTATTCTCACATTATTTTTTGTTTTTCATTCCCTCCCAACCCCCCAGCTAGCCTCAAGTTTACTTACAATGTGATGTTTACTGTCAGTCTTTCCTTGGAAAACTGACCAAAGCTTTCTCACATTTGCTTGTTTTGTAGAAAGCCAAGCTCGGCCCTGCTGGTAACAAAGTGATCAGCCCCTCGGAAGACAGGAAACAGCCTTCCAACAACCTCGACAGGGTGAACCTTACCGACTTCAATTTCCTCATGGTGCTGGGGAAGGGGAGTTTTGGGAAGGTAAGATGACAAGGGGCCTATGCTGGCCGCGTCAGATCAGAAGGGATTCTCATTTTAGCTTTCCCTGATCTTGTGCACATTCCTAAATGTTCTGGTTACTTTTACTTAAACAAACAAACAAAAAACCTTTAACTAAAAAGCTATAACAAGTTGGTGACTGTCCTGGACAGGATGCCTCAGAATGTTGTTCAAATGAGTCATTTTCACAACTAAAAGTCAGAGGTGACCTTGTAGTCAAATCAACGTCATCAATAAGAGATACGGCCACTGGACCATGTGCAGTGAGCTCATTTATATTGGTTTGGCTTCTGTGACCAAATCTCATAAGAGATCCAAGAAGTTTTTTTTTGGTTGTTGTTGTTTTCCGAGTTCCTGACCTGTGAGATTACAAAGGCCAGTCACATTTTACCCAAGGAAAACATGGATAATTCCAGATGGATGTTGCCTCTTCCCTTTAGCAGCTAAAGGAGTACCATGGTGTGGAAATAGCCCACGCAGTGGACAGATCCTGATGGATTTACAAAGGGCTGGAGGAGTTTAATCTCTGCTGGCAGGCAGTGTTTCCAAATTTGTACATAAGGTTTGTCAGTTAGCTTTCCATCACTATAATGAGATGCCAGGGTCAATTAACTTATAAAAGAAAAAGGTTGATTTTGACTCATGGTCATAGAGACTCAGGCCCATGATTATGTTGCACCCCCCCCTCGCTCTGTCCCCTCATTGGCCTGTACCTCTGCACATCAGGGTGGCAGTGTGTAGTGGAACATATCCCTTTACCAGCCCAGAAGCAAAGAGGAAGAGTCTGTCCCTCCCCCCCCCCGCAATTCCCTTCAGGGACCCCCACAAGGTCCCACCTCCAAGAGTCCAATACCTCCCCAGAGTTCCTTAGGGACCAGGGCTTTACCACCTGGCTCCTTGGGGGACACGTACGTAATCAAACCATACCAAAGGTAATTACTATTTTTCTGTCCCATCTTTACAGACAGCTGAACTGTCGCCCGGCCTACTTCTTCCCCAACCCTCCCTCATCACTCCCAGGACCAGATGTCTGCTTGGAAATATTCATCTTGTTTTTAATTTGTTCCCAGGTGATGCTGGCTGACAGAAAGGGAACAGAAGAACTGTATGCTATCAAAATCCTGAAGAAGGATGTGGTGATTCAGGATGATGACGTCGAGTGCACCATGGTGGAAAAGCGGGTTCTGGCCCTGCTCGACAAGCCCCCCTTCCTGACTCAGCTGCACTCCTGTTTCCAGACTGTGGTAAGGACTCTGGGCTGAGGGTCTCTGAGGTACAGCACCCAGTACTTGAACCACATTGTCTCAGCATCACCAGGAAAAGGCAGAGCAGCATGCCAAGTGGAAGGGACAGGGGCAGTGCTCACCTCTCTGACTCATGGATTTGGGCATTCCCTCTCTGTGCTATCCTTTGGTTGCCGACTTGGCCTTTAATTCTGCAAACATTTCTAACTGGCCTTCTGTGTCCTTGGGTTTCACACTCACAGATTCCTCTAGTCATGCATCAAAGAATGTTCAGAAAAACGGCATCTGTACTAAACATGTGCAGATTCGTTTCTTATCATTATTCCCCAAACAAATAGCAAACCAAGTATGTATAGCATCAGTGTACTAGGTTTTATAAGTAGTCTAAAGATGATTTAAAATATGTGGGCAGATCTGTGTAGGTGATACGCAGATACTTTTCTGCTTTATAGAAGGCGTTTGCGCATCTGAGGAGTTTGGTATCCTCAGGGGGTCCTGGAACCGATCTCCATGGATACAGAGGGATGGCCATACAGAAAATGTCTGCTTTATAACAATCACTGTGCTAAGACTTGGGTGACTCAAGACCACTGGCCTTGCTGCTGAGCATGGCATTGGAACATTTAGGAACTCCATTTTGTGAAAGATGGTGTTCATCTTGGATGATAGCCAGCAGGAGTGGCAAACTCTGGCCATGAGCTCCAAGAAATATCACCAAAAAGATCCACAAAAGAAATCTAAATATTAGTGTTTGTTGATATGTGAACATTAAATGAAACTTCCTAAGTAGTTTTCTAGGGACAAACCGTAGTCATTCACTTACCTGTCACCTTTGGCTACTTTCTTGATACAAAGACAAAGTTGAGTGGCTTCCAGAGGTATGCAAAGCCTGTATTTACTGCCTGATCCTTTATGGGACGAGTTCACTAACCCTGTCATAGAATAAAACTAAATATGTAAAAGAAAATCCGAAGTATTGGTCCATCAGCTGTGAGGCTGGCAAGTGTCCCACAGAAATCTAGGCATTCGGATGACGCCATAGAGAGGCACTGCTAGATAGGCTCTTCCATCCAGATACCATTCAAGATGGTGTGATAATCAATAGCTGCCATGATCATTACTATTTTCAACTACCTGGTTGGTAGTCAGAAACTGACTTTGTGTTTTATGCCCACCTTCTCCCCTCGGACGTACTGGGGTTTGAACCCAGGACCTCTTACTTGCTGGGTAGGCCCTTGAACCACACCCCTAGCACTTTTGGCTTTGGTTATTTTTCAGATAGAGTGTCTGTGTTTACTCGGGGCTAGCCTCAGACTGAGACCTTCCTAACCTTCCTAACTTCACACGTAGCTTGGAACACAGGCTTATGCCTCTTTAAAAAAAAAAAAAAATCTTGAGAAGCATCTCAATGCTTTTGGCTGATAGATCCTCAAAATGACAGCACTGCTTTCTACAGTGTCAGGGTGGTTGGTTGAGGTTGCAGAGCCCGTGCTGGCCTCTGTGTGGCAGCCTTGCACTGGTCTCTGGGTCAGTCAGCTCCTGCCTGCTCTCAGCCCCTCCCCAACTCCTGAGCCCAGAAGTGCCTGGAGAGCTGAGCAGCCAGGTAGGAAGAGCAGCCCAGCCCCAGTTCCCTAGCCCAGCTTACACCGATTGAACTCCAGGAAGCTGTGAAACAGAGAAATGAAGGTGAAATTAAAGTTCATAACAGAAACACTACAGTGAAGCTCCCAGAGCTATTTCCTGGCTGTTAGCACCAGCTTTATCATTTTTCCTTTTTCACCCCACACAGCACTTTAATGTTTAATAACCTCTATGAAATGAGGATGTTTTCTAGAAGAGAACAGAGGTCAGCTTTTACCACAGTATACTGTGCTATTAAGTTATTTCACTGTTAAATTCTTCAGTCTCACCCATCTGCCCTGGCATAATGTCCTTATAAATATGCATACTCATTTGGCTCTATGATGTATGCCCTTCATGAGGCCAATGCTTAGCATACCAGTGACAGAGAAAATAAAAAAGCAATAGTTGAACACATTATGGATGCAAAAGAACATTTGATTAGCCTCTCTGTTTATGGTCTTCCCTACCCAGTAAATATCATTAAGTATGTATAATTTACAAACCCAAGCTAACCCAAGAGATGTTTCCAGAAGCATTCATTTAAACACATTACTGCATTAGTAGGTCATGCCTCCAAGACATTACAAACCAGCTTTTACACAGCTGCTTGAAGAAGCCCTGGTTTACACAAAATCATTGACCTGTGTGGATTCTTTTATAGCATCCCTAGCTTAGATATATATTATGTGTGTAGGAGAAAAGGGGGAAACGTTTGAGGCCATTACTTTAATAAGAGGTATACATAGCCAGATAGACCCATTGACAGCCAATAATTCAAATTCATGGAATGAGTTTATTCCTCCCAAAGCCATTATACAATGGGGTATGTTACTTTTGCTGGGGGGGGGGGGCGGGAAGGGAATATGAAGTGCTCTAAACAGAACAGACACATCAAATAAGCCCTCATTTTATCCATGAGAAAGCAAAATGGAGTAGCTCTGCTGCGGTTGGAAAGGGGGAAGGGGCATCCTTACTCACGTAGAAACGTTGGCCTGCAGGACCGGCTGTACTTCGTCATGGAATACGTCAATGGCGGAGACCTCATGTACCACATTCAGCAAGTAGGGAAATTTAAGGAGCCACAAGCAGTGTAAGTATTTTCTTTTTGAAGTCCTGTAACTTGGGCAACCCAAAACTTCCTTGGACATTTCATCCAGGTGTAAACTTCTACTGGATGAAATGTCCAACGGTGGTTCTGCTCACTTGGGGCCAAGCACTGTACCTTCTGGGTCAGGGGCAGATGCATTGACAGTACTTATCTAGCTGTTTGCTAAGGAGCAGTTGATTCTGTTTCCAGTCGATTGGAAGCAGTTCCACTCTCGTGGATAGTTACAGAGCCTATGGTGATGGCACCAGGCACTGGGAGTGTGGAAGAGGTAAGATGCCATCAACCCTCAGGGAGCCTAAGCTCGAACCTCGCCACAAATATAAAGCATGTCAGTAACTATAGAGGTGTGCACAGGATACTAGGCAAGCCCCCAAGTCGGAGAACAAGAGCAGCAAGTCCAAAGGTAAGAAAGGAGCATTCCTCCAAGACAAGGATATGAGAAGATGCCGAGCGAAGTCCAGGGCCAGGGCAGAGTCTCACTGTATGTGGGAGAGGCAGGAGGTGAGGAGGAGGAGGTAGGGGCTCTTGATGAAGGGGGCAGGGGGAAGGGGCTCCCACTGTTGCATTGGGTTGTGCCTTGGATGATGGGATCCAGGAGTGGAGGTGGATGTGAGGTAGTGGTTTTATCCAGAGGTAGGGAAGAGAATAGAGGGGTGACCTTGATACCTGAAATGTCATCTCATAGAGACCAAGAAATCTCAAGAACCCCTAGGGAAGCAAGGCTAAGCAGATGACTATTTTATTTCGCTAAATGAGGGTGCTTAGCGGACACGCATATGGGTTAATCAAGTCAGCCAATGTGAATAGGATGCTGGCCAGGGTGCAATCTAAAAACTAAATCAGGAGAATTTTTGGTCTGTGTGGGATCTTCTGACCTAGAGAAGAATGAGTCAATGCAGAACAGGGAACTCTGGTAGCAAGCTTAAAAGAATATAAAGGGAGATGTTTCTTTTATCCCCACTAAAAAAAGCAAAAGCATTTCTAGAAATACCTGCCCTTATCTCCTCTCTTAATGTTGCGAGTTATAGAGCATTAAGATGCCTGTATTGAAAGATACAGCTTGATAGCACAGAGCCATAAAAAGCAGATAGCAGAACAGCCGCCTTCTGCTCTAAAGCCGCATAAAGATACCTTGGCCAATACCTTGCATTGCATTCGTATGGCAGAAAAGTTTTTTAAATTCAGAAAGCCATGAAAAAGAAAACAGAAATCACCCATAATCCCATCTTTCCTCCCTGCTCATCCCAGCTTCTCCGGTCAGCCTTCACAGACAGCCCATAAGGGATTTCTTTTCCTCATTCACATACCATTGTGTTTATTTTAAGCCTCCTGGGTGAATTTGCCCAGGCACTGGTCTTGTGGCTTCTCAGATTTGAAAGACTCCTAAATACTATGCAAATTTTAAAATATTTTTCACCATTTTATCTGATATTAACCTTTTAATGGTGTTGAAGCAGTAGTAGCTGCTTTTTATTATGGATTATTTAAAAGGGCACACTCAGGCATGAATCACGTTGCGTGTCCCATTTATCTATGCACTCAGGCTATGAATAAAACAGCTAAAGCATTCACGGTGCCCTAGACTTTGTCTTCTCAAGAGAAAGTATATTTTCAAACAACAGTGTATTCTGTTCATGAATAGGAAGATAGAAAATTTCTTCCCTCTACCATATTCTAGACATAGAATAGTCCAACAGGTATCCAGTTCTTAAATGATTATATTAGCAATTATTTTGTAGGCAGTAAATTACCTACATGCCTTGCCCAGATCAGAAAGTAAGTCTTTTGAAGATGAGTTGGAGTGAGGAAATGGCAGAGGAAAGGGTCAACAATTGGAAGAATTAGGTGTGAAGTTATGGCTGATCCCAGAAAACCTTAGGGTTTTGCATTCTTCTATCTCTCTCATGCCTGAACTTGAGGCAGAAAAAAACGTGAGCCAGAAATCTGAAGCATGCTTTCTTTTGCAGATTCTATGCAGCAGAGATTTCCATTGGATTGTTCTTTCTGCATAAAAGAGGGATCATTTACAGGTGTGTATGAAAACGCTCAGCAACTACCCAGCAGCGAGGTTTGCCAGGCCCCTGTGGGCCTGAGATTCTCTGATGGAGACTTCATACATGAAACTGATAACCAGAAGCACAGACCTGTGGGAACATACCTTTGTCTGCAGCCTCAAGGCAACCTGTCACCCTATGTTCTCTAGACCTCCAAGATTTTTCATCTCATTTCTTCTTTTCACAAGAAACCATGTCTTCTTCTCCTCTGGCAGTGCCTCTCTTGGCTTTTATTTGGAACAGAGGTCAGAGAGCAATGGAAACTGAGTTGCTATTATAGATACTCTACAAGGAAAGAACATGGGGAGCTGGGGAGAAGCTAGGGGAAAACTAGGCAATTCAATTCTTTGGTCATTAGCTGCTGTGAATGTCTGGTGCTGGAGGAAGAATGCCTTCCAGTGGTAATTGAGAAGTAGTTAAAAGGACATCGTTGCATGCAGAAAAAGGAGTCCTCTGAATTGTTCTAAACCCCATATCTTGTCAAATCTGACTATGTGCCTAACCTCCAGGCAAATGACTAGAATCTCCTGAACCAGATAGATTAGAAAGCTCCAGACTTTTAGCCCTAGCCCTGATTGGGAATCAGTAGTTGAGCCATTTAGTCACTCAAGTAATTATCTACCATCTTTCTACTATCCTAGGCTCTACAATAGGTTCAGGAGACATAAATCATATGATTTCCTAGACCCTATAGTGTGAGGAAAAGATGGCAACCTTCTCTTTCACCAGGTCCAGGGTAAAGCATGTGTGAAATGCTCTGATGCTAATCTGTCCCTTGCAGGGATCTGAAGTTAGATAATGTCATGCTGGATTCAGAAGGACATATCAAAATCGCTGATTTTGGGATGTGCAAGGAACACATGATGGATGGAGTCACAACCAGAACCTTCTGCGGAACTCCCGATTACATCGCCCCAGAGGTAGGGATCCCAGTTCTTGTTTTATGGACCAGGACTCTCAGACTGTAACTACAACCCCACATGGAGTATATGGATGTTAGTAAAGACTAAGTCAATGTGTAGTTCGTGACAGTTGAGGAGACTGAAGAAGACCATGGAAACCTGGAGAGAAAACATGATACACGTACAGCGATGGCTTATTTCTCAGAACTTTGTTTTGGTTCAGTGTACACATGAGCCAGTTGCGTGGGAAATCAATTTCTTATATATGCTCAAAATAACAAGCGATAATGTTGCTGGGATAGCTTTTAGCAACATCAGAGTGATTAGTGCTCCAAACTACCTGTTGTTCTTAGTATCCAATCTAGAAAGAAATTCATGCTTTGTATGTTTACAGCAGTGATCTGTACTTCTCTTTGATACAATATGTATTGAAGAATTCCCTTCCTAATTTATGAGGTTTCCCGTGTACTCATGATAGAACAGTTTCAGTCCTGGGCTACCAGAATTTTGCCTCTGTCCATGCCCAGCTCTGTAGATACAGAAGTCCTTCCCAGCATGGGTGGGAACAGTGAACTCAAAGCTGACCAGCCTCAGCAATTCATTGAACACCCCCGCCCCCGGTAGCTGTTGGAAGCACTTCTCACATACATCTGTTCAACATAGGAACCATGCATCTGTCACACCCAGCAGGGGTCGTGGAAAGACAAGCTCCTATATGGGAACAATGTAAGCTGTAAGCATGACTATTGCTCACACACCATGAAAACTCAGGTCCACACACTCCTTCTTCAGTGGCAAGTTTGGGATGATAATACTCTCCACATAAGAGACACCCCCCCCATTATTTTTATCTACTGTTACCCTCAGTGGTAGTCATTAACCAAAAAGAGAAGTTCAGTTTTGTTCCTTAGGACTTGTTATAGTCTTGGGCAAACCAGAAACAGACTTTACTTAGAAATTCAAATGCTGAATTCATGGCCAGAGGTGACATGTTATCTCAATCCACAACTTAGTAGGTTCCCCGCTGCTCCTCCATAAACCTACTGATTAAGACTTCCAGGGATAATGTGAACTTAAATAGCCGCCCTTTTCAATGGATGAAGAGACTGTGCACAGGAAATACAACCTGTGGGTTCAGGTGTTTTCTGAAGCCTCCTGTTGGCTGATAGGCTTTAAGCAGGATGTGTCTGTGAGCATGTGAGTCCCTCTAGAATACTGAGGATCAGTAAGGGTAACATAGTCACAGGTTCTAGGGACTTGGCCAGGCACTGCTCTTAGGGGAAGAGGGTCATCACTAAGTCTGTCACGTTCATTTTGATAGCTCTGTGGAAGAACATCCCTCAACCTCTTGCACCTTTGGGGCCTTTTCATACATAGAGAATAACATGTTCTTGCTCTACATGCCCTGGTTCCTGGAGCCTTCCTTCTTTTCTGCTCTGAACCAACCATGATAAAGGAAGTGACCACCATATATTGGATGTGTACTGGGCAGCTAGTACCATATATAATTTCCCTCACTTCATCCCCATGAAGGAGGTAACATTGAGCCCTGCCTCCAATGAGATGACTGAGGCAGTAGTCATATGTCTAAGGGCTACATCACTAAGATAGGCCAGAATTCTGCTCCAACCCCAAGCTCAGGCCATCTCTCGACCTTGCGTCACTCACTGCATGAAACCACTTCAACCTGAGTGACTCACATGTGCAGGCTGCATTCTGTTTATTATTTCTTAGACAAGGCCTTGCTATATAACTAAGGCTGGCCTCAAACTTGCAATCCTCTTACCTCAGCCTCCCAAGGGCTGGGATCACAGGGGCATGCTTCCATGCCCAGCACAGAGTCCATTCTGTAAGTCCACGGTAGCAACTATGCTGGCTCCAGGCTACAAACCTCCTCAGACAGGCTCCCCACAGCTTAGAAGGCTCACAGTTTCACAGCTTAGAAGAGGTGACATCTTTGTCGACCAGAAGGAGTGACAACGCTGTGTTTGGCTTGTTGACTCATTGGAAACACAAGCTTCATTGTGCTGAGAAATTAGTCAGTAACACCTTTGAGTGGTTTTACCTTTTGCCAGAACTTTTTCTCCCTAGTGTTGGCAAGTATAACATATTTAGCCCCCCAGAATACTTGCAGTATAAGGAAAGACCAAATAAGATCAACATTTCACAATTTGCTCCCAGAATTTGCTCATCAAATAAGTCTGTCCTCTGTGTAACTCTTCCTGTCAGGCAGAGGTGAAATAATTACCTTAGATGGCATTTTCCTTAATAGGCAACGCAGAGGCTTAAATGTTTATGGCTATTTATTCAAAAACCTTGAAATTGATTAAAACCATAGCCTGTCTATAATGGACAAAGATGGGCTGAGGCAGAAAATGTCACTCACAGATGTGACTTGGGAGTGCAGATGAATACAGAGGGACACTAATTAGAAAATGATTCCTACAGTGGCCATGAGGGCCTTCCTGAGCTTGTGTGCAGAAAGAAGTCCTGGGGTTCATGAGAGTCCCTGAGAAGGCTGAAAGTGAGGGTAGGAATGGTTTTCTCTCCTTCCCTGAAGACAAGTGTTGCTTTTGGCAAACATCCCTGTGTGGACCTGCTGCTGTGGGAGCAAAGCCTGTTCCTATGTGCCATGTGCAGTCATCCTGGCAGCCTTCGCATTGTGGTGTGTTGACTGCCTAGCCTGTTCCAAGCCCTCGGAGCACATTTTGTTTATCCTATGTCAAGATCACACAGTTGGTGACAAGCAAAGGTAGATTTGGACCTGACATTCAAACCACAGCATCCATATGTTCTTTTCATGAAAGGCCTTGTTTCCAGTATTATGGGAGAAAAGCAGTTAACAATGAGAAGTCTCCTGCAAACCATTTTCTCTTTTCCATACCTTAGAAGAGGCTGGACCTCCCCTCCATGCATCTGACCAAGAACCAAGGCCTGAGGGCTGGTCAGTGTCAGTCAATGACGCTGACAAATCCCTTAGAACTCAAGGGCAAGTGAGCAGCAAGGGAGCCTCTGCCCATAGCATGATGCTTGATCAGAAAGGGGAAGCCTGGGGGAGACCCACTAGCAGGTGCTTGGTAGGGGAAGGGGGGTTAGAAAGGAGTGACCACACTCCAGGAGAAACATGAACTATACAGATGCCCCAAGAGTGCCCCTCGGCCACAGCAGATGGCATCTACAACATGGCCGAAGTCACTGGGGAGAAACTTTTCAGTTGTGTTTGCCTGCCCTGGAGTCCGCTGACTAGGAGCAGATGGACCGTGTCCTTCCAGGGTTGAGGATTGGATAATTCAGGCAGCAGGAGACCTGTCCCTGGGGCATCTGCATCCCAGCCCTGTGGGAATGCCAACCCCTCGATGCTGCATTCTATGTAAGACTCACCAGTTACTCTAAGTAACCCCAATGTCTAGCAAAAGAAACATTTACAGTGAGACTCAGTCCATGGTGGTTACAGGGGACACAAAGAGGTAGAACAGGGAGCTGTAGCCTTGGATTGTAAGGCATGTGTTCATGAACTCAAAGTCAGCCAGGAGGTCAAGAGGTGGGAGACCAGAGGTCCCTGAGAGTTTAGTTTTTTAGTGACACTGCGTACGGATGAAAGCCAGCATCTGTGGTCAAGAAGGATTATCGTTGGAAGCACCTTTGGGGAAATGGAAGAAGGAAGGCCTGGTGAAGGCAACAGCAATGTATTTCTAGGAGGGAAAGAAAGGGAAGGAGGGAGGGAGAGAGGAGGAAGGAGGAGGAATAGGAGGAGCAGAAGCAGCATCAGGTAGGAGGAGAAAGACAAGGAGAGGAAGGAAGGAAATTCCATGAGGGAACGGGAATGGGGAGATATAAGGAAAGGAACACTCCCTCTCAGAGTGAAGGGTCGGTGAGCTCCCCCACGGTGGCAGGAATCTAGCCATTTGGAAAAGCCACATTTTAATAATGGCCCCAAGACCCTTTGTCAGTCAGCTTCCTGTTACCATTGAGATGTTGTGTGTTCTTCAAAGGTTGATGGTTTCGTTCTTAATGTGGTAGTGTTGTGAACTGGCATGACCTTTAAGAGATGAGTCTAGTACAAAGCAAGGATTTCCCTGTGGGTGCTGCCCTGGAAGGGGTTAAGGCGGGGGGAGGGTCTCATAGGACTCCAATTGGTGCTTCAGAGAAAGTTGTTATGAGAAGACTGGTTGACCCTGCTCTCTGCCTTCCTCTTTTGGTGTGATCTCTTGCGCGCGCGCGCACACACACACACACACACACACAGAGACCTCCAGCCACATCTGAGGGTGTGTCCTCAACAGAGCTGAGCAGATATTGGTATCAGGTTCTTTTGTGAGCTAAATAAACCTCTGTTCTTTATACATTCCCCAGCCTCAGGTATGTTGCTATAGTAACAGGAAGCTGATTTAAGATGCTTGCGCATCCCCTCCCCTTTCACTTGCTTCCCTGGTCAGCTGTGCTGGCTTCCTTTCTGCTAGGCGTGGGGAGCATCTAGGAAGCATTTGCCCCGCCATCATCCAGGCTTTTCCTCCTCTCCTTCCCTCTGCCTGGAGAGTCCTGTTCCAGGCATCAGCAGATCTCCTCCTTTGCCTCCTTCAAGCCTTCACTTCTCATCTTGGGGAAGTCTCCTGTCCTGATGATCCTGTTTAAACCTGTAGCCCTGCAGACCCTCCCAGCACCTGTGTCCCTCGTCCCTCTTTAAGGGACTAGGATGCCATCAAAATCTGAGGCTGATGGCACGGGACGCAGTGCATTGGGAGCCCTTGCTCTGGTTAGCCATGGAAGAGGCCGATGGGCTGAGAGACCTGAGTGATGGAAGGCTGATGGATGTCAGCCCAGGTCCCCAAATCATCCACACTGCCCCCCAGGGGGCATCCCAGAGAGACTGCTCACGGTCTAAGGAATGGGCTGAGGGTAGGGACAGACAAAGAGAACCAGCTAAGAAAAGAAGTCTTACATCTACACAGCCAGGCAGCCAGGCAGTAAATTAGCACTTGCCAGGGAGGAGGGGAGATGAGATACCCAGAGAGGAGAGA